TAGATCAGGCTTGGCTCCCAGCAGGTGCTTGGTAGGTGGCACCACCGCCATTACCATTATTTTATTTTTTATTTTTTTAATTTTTTTTCCTTTTTGTCTTTTTTACTGACCAGTAATGGGATTGCAACCCTCGGTGTCGCGCCCGCACCACGCTCAGCCAGTGAGCGGGAACCGGTCTCCACATGGGATCCGAACCCTCGGCGGGAGCGCCGCCGCGCTCCCAAGCGGCGCACTCTCCAGTGCGCCACTGGGCCGGCCCAACCATTATTTTTATTATTATCACTAGGGAGGACTTTGACATCTGTCCTGAAGTGACCGCTTGCTGGTTCTACAGAGTGAGAAGCTGAGAGAGGTCTTCTGGGATAGCTCTCCTGGGACTTTGGTCCCTTCCCAGCTGGGGCACCCAGCTCCTGAACCTGCTGTGCTCACGGGCTGTGTGGTGGGCAGACTGGAGCATCCTCTTGCTGGGGTGCACTATGGTGGGGTGTACAATGAGGTAGTGGGTGAGAGTCCAGAGGGCAGAGACAGCCAGACCAAGTCCAGCCACACCCGTCTGGCCCTCACCCTGGCCCTTTCTCTGCAGTGGGGCCGACTTGCTTGCTGTCAACTCTGATGGGAACATGCCATATGACCTCTGCGAGGACGAGCCCACCCTGGATGTCATCGAGACCTGCATGGCGTACCAGGGTAAGGGGAGTGGGCTGTAAAGTAGGCACAGCAAGTTTTGCAGTGAGTGTCACTTGAATGAATGTGGGTGAACAAATTAGCTAGCTATGTGCCCACCTGCCCCGTGCTTGGCACTCAGTGGACAGGCCGGGTCCTCATTATTATTGTTATCTGTTGATTAACAAGACAAGGACACGGAAGGACCCTGGGGAGTGTGCTGTGCAGAAGGAGGTATTGTTCTCGTCTGTGTCACCCACCTTTGTCTCCTCTTCATTGGCTGTGACAATTCAATTTAATAAACATTCACCATAAAGATATATTCCCATGTGGGAAAATAAGAAGTTAGGAACATTTGTAGGTGCCTGCTGTGTGCCAGGTACCACATGGGCTGCCAGGGGCCCAGATAAGCAAGATATGGGCTGCTCTCAGCTCACAGTAAGAGAGACCTGCCTGCCTCCAGCATCTCACGTACGTGTCTTTGAAGCAGCTCCTTGGAAATATGGTCCAAACCAGACCCTCAACTGCAGCCCAAGGTCCTGCTCTGGCCCTGCCTCATGTTTCTCCCTAAATCACTATGGTCACCACCAATCTGGTCTCCTGGTTCTCTGACACCCAAGTTTTTCCTGTTCATCTCCTGCAAAGGTTCTTAACAATTTTCATGCCAATCTGGTGAATCTATGGACCCCTTCTCAGAATAATGTTTTTAAATGCGGTTATAAAATCATAGGACTGTAAAGGAAGCCAATTATATTAAAACATTGCTACCAAAATATTGTTAAATAAGTCAGAAACTTTACTAATTCATTAAAAAATAAGATGACATGATATGACAGTACCTACAGTATATGACAATACCTACAGTTTCCGTTGGTTACAAAGTCACAGGCACTGCTAATACTACTGTGGGTATTGC